AAAAATTTTCACATGTGTTGTGGTCCCCAAGTTAAGTTTTGGGTCATTTCTAATTATAGGTCATGTACCAAAATGCAGAGTTGAAGCACCATGTTCATGCTTAGGCCAAATAAAATTTTCTTGTGCGGTTTATGATATTTTTTTTGTCAAATGTTCCTTTCATGGAGTAGAATACAATGCAAAAAGAACTAGGTCAATTGAATGCTTGAGCTGAAAGTGACATGAGTTGAAAGTTGGGGTCGTGACTTGAATTTTTAGGCCAGGCATTAGGTCAAACATGTCATGAACCATGTTTTGTGCACAGGTGGCCTTCAAAATTTTATGGACTTAGAGCTTGAATTGATGTTTAACATCTAAGGAAAACTTGTAGAGGACATCATTCTTGATATTTGGTTTAAAGAAACGCCCATAAATTTTGAGAATTGAATAAGTTATGGTGTTTGGACCAAAGGGTATGCCACACTTGATTTTAGGTCAAACCACTATGTTCCAACTTGTCATTTTTTTATGTTTTCTTGCATTTCAAGGCATAATGATGATCATATGAACTACAAATGAAGTTTCCTTTATAGGCCCTTTATTAATCTTGATGAAACCTTGAGAAAAATGATGAATAAGGCATGAAAATAAACACATGAACCTATCTTGAGTTAACTTGCAAGCCCAGCATCAAACTTAAACTTCTCTTGATCAATTAGTTCCGAATGAAGCTTAACATGAACGCGACCTAATATTATAGGTCATACCTTGAATAACAAGTCTTGTTGACCTTTACTTTGACTTAGGGAATCAAAACCCTAATTTGGAAACCATCTTGATCTTTTGATGAAAAAGCCCTACCTTGCAAGATAAGAAAAAGAAAGAAAGTATATTTTTGTATTTTGAATAAGGTTAGTAAAGCGTAAAAGCAAATAAACACAAAGACAAAAGAAAGAACAAAGGGTGCTTGGTGATATCCTACACAACAACCCAAAGAATCACAAGTTAGGAGACTACCAAGTTTGTGATTTTGATAAAATGAAATTATATGATAGGTGGGATCTTAGGGTTAAAAATTAGGATATATGACAGTAACCAGGTAATTTTTCCTTCTCCTTCTGCATTTTTTATTTTCCCTTTTTAAAGATGGTTGTTATTCGTGAGTGTGACAAAGAAGGCAATGTGGTTGCTCCGTGAAGTTCCCCCCAAAGTCGTAAACTCATGGAGCAGTACATTCGCCTGTTTAGCTCTAGGTTCATCGATGTTGATTGGGGGTTTATAAACGAGGAGGTTTATGGTGATTTTGGCGATTGCGATTCATTTTGTGACACTGACTCAGTGTTTTCTTCTTCAGGTTCGATCGAGATCACCATGGAGCTTACTAATTCCGCTTTTAACCTATCAGTTTGGGGAAATGACTCGCTATTTCAAAGTGTAGAGTATTTAGAAAGATTCAGGGACGAGAGCTATATCTCTACCACCGGCGAGGAGAGCGGTGTTATATTAGAGCCATGTATTATGGGCGAGAAGATTTTCACTTATCGCCATCCTAGATATCCTCTAGAATATTTCTACTACTACGAGTGTATTCTGTAATAGCCCAGGGGCCCCTAGCAAGGCGCTCCCGACACTGCTACCTCACGATCTTCTCTACCCCCTCACTAGTAGAGTTTTTTGCCTTTCCTGGGAATCGAACCGTGTACCATGGGGTTCAAGTACATGTTCAATCCATTACCACTACCAATTAAGCTACACTATGTAACACCCTAATTATACCCTGGATAATTATAATTAAATCAGAGTAATTTAAAACATCAATCATAATCAGAATGCTACATTCTTGAAGAATATGCACACATGCTCGTAATATTTAAACGATACATAACACCAAAACAATGATGAACTACAAACAACAACTCATAGTCTCCAACTTTAACTTTTTATTAATCAGCGGGAAAATAATCATTTTTGAAGTTATACAATTTCACCCAAAATAAATCAACAATTATTCAAATAATAAGGAGTTCACAAAAATACAAACAATTCATTAAAATTAATAAAATAACTAAGTGTTCATCCCTTCGGTGTTATGTATCAGACCAAAGATGCCGACTCAAAATAAAACAAAGAGCGACCTCTTCCAACCACCGCAACCTCGGACTACTCCTGACTATCTGCATGATGTCGTATAAATCATCATTTCAACAGAAGAGTGAGATATCACAACAATATAAAAGAATGCATAATGATAAGTAGATAGCAATTTATTTCATGCATAGTCATACAATCCACATCTCACACCACCCACAACAATCACATCACATACTAGTTATAAATTTACAATAACACATATCATCCAGTATGGTATATCACACACATCATCTACACACTTCAACATCATAATAATAATACGATGCAACGAGACAGACTCACAGACTTAATGCATGTGGTGCCAACAAGGCATAAGCCCTCATCATTATGCTAAATAGGAAAAAATAGGGCGTAATCCCTCATCATAATGCCAATACAAGTCATCAATAGGGCATAAGCCCTCATCATAACGCCAATACAGGCCATCAATAGAGCATAAGCCCTTACCACGAATGCATGCAACACCGACATGAAACAAATGCATTATGCATTGATATTCCTATCCACCAATGCAACACACTAATACATGCCATCATCATCATCATCATCATCATATATGCATCATATTATGAAAAATTCATACAGCTTCATAAAGTATCATCACACTCAATTACAACACTACGACAACACAACATCCTGGTATTACAATTCACAAAGCATGTCATCACAGCACATAATCGAGTTTAACAATTCTTTACAATTTAACATACAAGCATCCCCATCTTAACTAAATCCCAATTACAGCCTCTCATCACCAAGTAAACAGTATACAAACTCGACATTTACATGAGCATATCACACCACATGGCAAGGTATTATGGATACACATCATAAGCAACACAACACCAAAAATACATGCCATTTTACACAGCCAAACAGTAGTTAAATCACCTAATGCCAAAAAAAATTATTTTAATGGAAATACTATTGTGCTAGCTTTCTAACAATTCGAACGGTATCCAAAACGGACTCACGGTTTGAAAGTTATGAATTTTCAAAGTTCTAACTAAAATGCAAACACCAGCGTCATACACTGACACCAAAAAACCTCATTACACACAAATTAAATTTATTTCCATAACATGAAACCATTTTTATAAGAAAGTACACAATATTAACTTTCCATATGTTTAAACTGTGCGTCAAATGGACACCCGAGTCAAAAGTTATGGATTTTACAAGTTTTGAAAAAGTTTGTCAGCTTCAGGAAATCGATTACCCCAATACTGGTAATCAATTTCCTCACTTCCAGAGGCCATTTTTCTTAATTTTTAATCTGGAAATCGATTTCCCAAAAAGGGGTAATCGATTTCCGCTACCCAAAATCAATTTTTCTATTATTTTAAGTACGAAAATCACTTTTGTTCACCTATCCAAACAACCCCAAACATCCCTCAATGCTTATTTTGGTTTCTCAACTTTATTATTCATTCACATACACTATCAAAACATTTATATTTCACCAAACATGCAATTACACACATAAATCAACTCGATTTCATACGTTATTACAAATATCGACACCGACACTCAATTACACCAATTTGTAACCAAAATCAAGTCTTTCAATTTCACAAATTATTCATACACATTACACAATATTCAAAATCATTTCATGTAATCAATTTCACCAGATCAACCAAAAATGTGTCGATAATTCATCAAAGGGTTCAATCACCTAAAAGAAAACATCATGAAATAGAGAACACACAAATATGGAAAATTCTAAATCCCCAACATGTCCATCATTATGAAATCCCTTAGAAAGTTGGAACCCCACCCTTATCTTAGATTGAAGTTTCCCGAGCTCCTACAATAGATTCCCTTTTGCCTTAGCCTCTTGATACACTTTTCTCCTCTTCTCCTCTTCTCTCGTCCTACGATCGTTCTTTGACAAAACATTTCTTCTTCTATTTCCTTGTTTTAACAACTTTAATCCCTAGACTCTTAATATCATATTTCCATTTATGTCCTTCCTTAATTATAATAATTAAAATAATCATTTAATTATTATCTTTATAGTTATTATAATCACATCTAAGTAATTCAACCAAATTATTTAAATATGAATAATTATTTCTAATTACCATATAACTTCACCACTACTCTACAACATATTGTCAAGACCCACATATTTCAACAAAATACATATATTCACCAATAATTCACAATTAATGAATTAAATAATTAATTATGGTTTTCGGGGTGTTACATATGCTAGGTACCCTTGGGGTGGGGACTCCCTTCACTAATTTCGAGGCTGACTTTCTAACAACCTTGAACGTCTCCCCTACGCAACTTCAACCGAACAACTGGGGGTTTATTAGATCATTTGATATTATTTGCGGTGCTCTGGGCATGGAACTAACCCTGGGGGTTTTCTTTTCTTTTTATTAGTCAAAGGGCGTAGGGAAGAAGAGTTAGATCTCATTGTTTGGTCTATTAGGGCGAGCCCTGTTTCAAGTGCACTCTTTTAATTTCAAAAACTACAAATACAAGTTCTTTTGGGTGAGAGGGAGCGTAATTTGCCCTAGGGTCCTCTATAATAAGGATGGATCAAGGGGTTTTCCCCTCAGCTGGACGCAACATCCTATTCCTATTAGGTGTTTGAACCTAACTAACTGAGCAACCTTGAGAGGAAAGTGGTCGAGACTTTTTATTCCCTTGGAACCGGATGATGGTCCAGGATGTTTTGGACTATAAATACGATGTGGTTAATCTTCATAGCTTCATGGGTAAGAGGGGCCTCCTTTTTAAGGGGATATTATCACCTTTTTTGCTTTTAATCGTCATTCTGTTATTGTATAAGTGTTATTGATCAGTTTATTTTTTCCTTAGGAAAGAGGATATCAAACATGAACATTAAGTAAATGATGGTACTCTTGACGAATGTGAAAGCTTTGAGGGGGAACCAGGCGATAGAAAGGAGTGACCCTGAGGGTTTCGGTATCCATGTCCCACGTGTTTAGAAGAAGAGAAAGGTTGGGGTTGATGAAGTTCATCAACAAAGTCCATCCTCTATGGGTGACCAGACTCCTCGACCCTCTACGAAGAAAAGATCTCACTAGAGAAGAGGGTATTGGAGTATCATGGGAAAAGAGCTCTGGTTAGAGCATCTCTGACTACTCCTAGTAACAAGCTGGAGTGCTTTCTTAGAAAGATCGGGGCGTCCTCAGAGGTTGGTGGTTCAAATGTCAGTCCTGATGAATTTAGGTTTTGGGAGTCTTCTTTCTATGGTCTCCGCTTCATGTATGACCATCTGAAGGTGGATGGCGATATTAGGAAGGTACAATCAACGGGATCATAGAAGCTAATCCAAAACATTGTTACTCATCTTATGAAGAGCACCATGCTCTGTAAGGCTTTGTTTGAGACTTCCAATTCTTTGGAGCAAGGTGAGGAGTCGCTGAAGACCCAGGTGAGGGGTATGACCGAGGAACGGGAATCGCAGCGTGCCATGCTTTCCTCTTCCATGGAGCGTGTGTGTGCACTATAGAAAAAGAGTTGACTAAGTTGAAGGCGACAAAGAAAACTTTTGAGGAAGATCTCTAGAGAAAATGTGTTAAGTCTGAGAAGGAGAGAGAGACCCTTCAAGCCTATTGGCAACCTGTGATGAGAAGATTGAAATTTTAAAAGGTAAGTTGGAGGTTGTTGTTATGGACTATTTATTGTTTGGGGATCTCGCCTTCTAAAAAGCTAAAGATCAAGTGTGGATTCTGCATCCTTATCTTTATATGTTCGAACTGGGTTATTTCAAGATAATCAAGGATGGCCAGTTGTTGTTGGAGGAGAACCCAGAAGGGACCCCAACTATAGAGGTGGACTTGGATCAGAATCCTCTTTATGATGAAACTGATGACCAGCCTTCTCGGGGCTGTGAAGATGGACCTTATCCAAATGGAAGAATTGTTCAAGGCACGCTTGAATAGGATGTCTAATTGATTGTAACCATTATTCAGTTTCTTTTATTCTGAATCCTGTTTCTTTAAGTACGGATAATGTTTGAATTTTGGGGAACATTCCATTTTTGAATTTGGTTTATGTTTAATGATAAGTATGTTTTGTATATCTAGCATTTCATAACTTTATTGTTTTTGCTCATTGATTGCCTTTTTTTTTACCTCGTTGGGTATGTTCCTAGGCGTTTTACTCATTTCTTTTTTCTGGAAAAATTTTGAGCTATTCAATTTCTTTCCAAGGCTTAAAAGTTCTTCAAGCGATCATACAATCGTCCTACAATGATTCAAATTTGTTAAGTCTTTTTCTTAGATTTTAGCTTTATGCTCATTTTTCTTATATGCATAGTGTTTTAAATATTTTCCCAGGTTTTGGAGTTTTTCAGGTGATCATATACTCTCCCTACAATGCTCCAGAGTTGATAAGCCTTTTTCTTAGACTTGAGTTTTATGTTCATTTCTCGTATCATGTTTGGTGTGAGTGATGATTAGTGAACCAATCATATGAGTTAGTGTTCTTAGACCATCGACTTACCTGCTCCTTTTCAAATTCTCATCAGAGTGGTGATTTCAGGAGAGGCGGGAAGGTACTCACTCTACGAATTAAAATTCTTAGATCCTTGTCCTTCTTATTCCTCTCCAAATGTTTTTTGAATAAGAGATTTCGGAAGAGGTGGGAAGGTACTCGTTATACGAGTTAGGATTCTTAGATCCTCGTCCTTCTTGTTCCTCTCCAAATGCTTTCTGAAACGACAATGTCAGGAGAGACAGGTAGGCGCTCGTTCTACGAGTTAGGATTCATAGATCCTTGTTCTTCCTATTCCTTTCCAAATTTGTTTTTTAAAATATGATGTCATGAGAGGTGGGTATGCACTCATTATACGAGTTAAGTTTCTTAGATCCTTGTTGTTGTACCCCAAAATTTTCCCTCTCTTTTCTCAAGACATTTCTCACAAAGATCTTCAATGGTACAAGCTTACATAAGTATTGACTAGGTCAAGCCATCTCCTCAACACTAATGTCTCAAATTAGGGTTTGGATTTTCACAGGAACAATTGGACTTCTAATGCTTCAATTGACTTTCATGGATCATTATGGACCCTCAATAATTCTAATATCAAGTATCAACTCTTGCATCTCAAAATTGCTCAGTCAATTGATCAGATGACCCCAAATTAGCTGTATTGGGTAAAAAGTCAACTATGGTCAACCTATAGTCAAATTTCAATATTTTTTACCAATATCAGCATTTTGAAGTTATATGTATCAATTGATCAAGTTTGGATCACAATTCCCAAAGAAAAATGTTCAAATCATCAAAAGGGCAAAATGGTCAAAATTAGGGTTTTGATTGAGAAGGCTTGATTTTTTATCTTTGAACTAATACATGATCTAATGGCTTGAATCATGAAATTAAGGATTCAAATACAATACCTTGACCTAATTTCATGGCTCAAATCATTTCTCAAGATCAATTGATTCACAATTGAAATTCAGTTAATTAAGAAAAGTCAACTGATACACCAAAAGTCAAACTTTGACTTTTTTAATCAAAATTGAGTTTTAAAGATCACATTTCATCAAGACATTCAAAAATATGAAACTTTATCATCCAGAAATCAAGAAATTCAAAAGTCATTTTGAAAAGTCAGAGTTTTCAAGACTTAGAAAATTTTCTAAGTAATTTTAAGTCTTGTCTTTTTCATGACTTCATGCCAACTTTTCGCCAAGATGCAAGAAGATTCAAAGAAAACTTCCAACAGGAAAGTTTTAGATCTTGATGAGATCTTCAAATTTGATTTACTAATAAAGTCCTATAAATTCTTGTATTTTGAGTTATGAATTCATGATGTCATGCACTTTTTCTTAAACACTTAGTGAAAATTTGACCAAGTTTAGGCAAGTTTTGACCTAACTTCATGGAAATTTTTCACATAGTTCAAAATTGATTCATCAAAAATTAAAAACATATAGGTTGTAAAGGATGTTTCAAGATTTCGAAAATGTCCAAGAACTCATTGAGATCATTCTTGATCTAGGAGAATCGAAGAGATGAAGTTAGGGTTTCAAACTTGAATTACAAGGCATTTTTCATGAAGAACACTAGACCAAATCCATATCCATGCCGCATAGTCTTGCTTTCCAGGCTTCTAACTTATGTTCCACTCCATAATTAATGGTTTACACAAATATTTGATCCATTATCCAATTGATTGAACCATTATCCAAACTAAATTTCCATTAATGGAAGAAAGTTCACACTTCCATTTTGGAAAAGTGGATTTAATCACAAAGTCCACTCTCCTTGAGCTTTGTAGTTATTCTTTCTGCACAAGCATCCTCTATAAGTTCATAAGAAGTATGTTTAAATGTCTCAACCAGCCTACCTTGCCTTGAAACCATGTTTGTCCATGTTGCTTCAAAAACAAGTCAAAATCCACAAACATGTGATTTTGTACTTCTGACTTTTCTAAGTTTTCAAACCTCTTCTCTATAAATAGAGACACCATTTACAACATAACACACGAGTTTACAAGCCCTCAAACTCACTCAAACTCCCTAAAATGTCAGATTTGTATACAAACCTCCATTGTTGTCATTTCTGGCCAAAAAACCTCAAACACAAAATCTACTCGTGCGTTTTAAGTTCTAATCAATCACAAAGCTTCTAATACACATATAGAGGCTATCCCAATCCCTATTTTCCAACTATAACACCATCTTTTTCATCTTCCATAACCAAAAATAGAGCATTGCAGTTGGAATTCTCCAGACTATTTCAACCACTCTCCATTCAAGCTAAGCATTGCATTAGCTTCTTAGGGACTCAAGGAAGCTAACCTGATCATTGCAGCACCTTGAAAGTTGCTCAAACTCAAAACACGGAATCCATTTTTAAGGTAAGTTTTCTGAATTTTGAAATCTTCATATTGACATTGTTAGATTTCCATTTTCAAAGATAAAATGTAGACATCATAGCCCTGAAGCTAACCATGTCCTTATAATTCATTTATGTTGCCTGAGTAGAGAGAATTTTAGAGTTGAAATTTCTGAAAAAGTTAGGTCAAAATTTAGTACCATTAGAAATTCTCTTTCATCTTTGTTTTATAGCTGTAGTTATTTACATTTCTGGAATTGTGATGAAATTTCCAGCAACTTTCATGTTTACATTTTCCATTTTGGTTGAGAGATGAAGAATTTACAGGTTTTAAAAATCATGTTGAGATTTCTGGCACGAGGAAGAAGATGAAGTTGTCCATGGATTTGTTTTATTTTAAATTTAGCACAAGATGTTTTATACACGGATGAAATAGCCACCCTAGTGGAAAGCGTGTGTGTCTGTAAGGTATTAGTGTGTAAGGTCCTGGGTTCGAACCCCAGCGAGACCTTTTTAATTTTTCACATTTTCTTTGTTTCCTATTTTTATATTTTTGCAGGCGCGTTGGGCTCCATCTGTTAGGCCTCATCCTAATTTACTCAACAATACCCCCCTGTTTGCTTCACGTATGCAGGCCCACCCCTTTGTTTTATTTTATTTTATTTTCTGATTACAAAAAAGCCAATGTTGAGCCTCAAACCAAAACCTAAAACATATTTACTTACCAACCCCTTAAACTATTTTCAAACCCCCTGACTTATATTTATATTTATATTCTATTTTATTTTCTTTTATTTATTATTATTATTATCATTATCATTTTTATTAACCAAAAATCCCAAAAATATTTTAGATTTATTATTTAGATATTTAGTATATTTTTATTATTTTTCTTTTAGACAAAAAGACCAAAAAAATTTCTTTAATAAATTTCTATTCTTAATTAAATTAATATTAGACTTGGTTTATTTTAATTAAATTAATTTAGAACTTGGGAATTTAATTAATTAATTAATTTCCGTTCATTTTAGTTTTAATTAAATAGGTTTAAACCTTTTCATAAAAAATCTAAGAATTGTTTTCTTAATTAACTTATTTCTTTTTCTTATTTAATTTAGGTTTAGCTTTCTTAATTTAACTTAGACTAATTAACCATTCTCTTTTTAGTTTAATTAGGTTAAAAAACTCTTTCATATAAAAAATTAAACAAAAACAATTTTCTTTTCCTTTCACATTGCCTTCATTATTCTCGTACAATATTTGTTTATATTCAATATGGTTGTAATAGTTAATTAGGGTTTATTTGCTTTTATTTCCCCATTTGTAAATTTGCACCCCCATCCCCAAATGATGTAATAGCGTAGAATTTTACATTTTCGCAATTTATCGCTTTCAATATAAATGCTAGTAATTAGGGTTTGTATGGAAAGACATAAAATCAACAAGTAGAAAACCCTAATTCAAAGACAAATGAGTGAAATAAAAAAAACTTGCACACTTGCATCTCTAGGGTTGACCACACTTGTTTCCTTAAGAATAATCAGTCATGTCCCTCGAATGTGGGATACTTTAGCAATGACCCTTGAATACAATATCGTAGTCCCTCGATGATCCTCAAAAGTTGCCTTTATAAAATGATCTTAGACCTTTAAAAAAACTGCTAAGGTATCCTACAATGTTGCTTTCTATGACTGTACGATGATCCACGCATGTCCTTTCACATCCAATGATATGGCTTCTTATCAATCAATAGTAAGATAAAATATCTAAAGGGGGAGGAAATGAACAAATACTTTTTGAGTAGGTAGAATGCTCGTAGTTGCTTGCTCACAACCATTTTTAAAACATCTTTCAAACACACCAAACACTTTCAAATGAAATATTTTCAAAAATTCAACACTTTGTAAACATTCTTATAGAGACGAGAATCATTACAAAGTTCGCCTAAACAAAGGCACTTTTCAAAAATACTTTCAAAACCTATCACAAACACATTTCAAACAAAGCATTTCAAAGTGAGCTAGCAACTAAGAGCCCGTAGATAACTATGGATGGAAAGGGTGCTAGCACCTTCCCTTTTCATAACCTACCCCCT